TAATAATAATAATTATTATTATTATTATTACAATTTGGGTTAGGGGTTAACAATTTGAATTCTCATTACATGCGTAGGATATATATTATATTATATTATATTATATTATATTATATTATATTATATTATATTATATTATATTATATTATATTATATTATATTATATTATATTATATTATATTATATTATATTATATTATATTATATTATATTATATTATATTATATTATATTATATTATATTATATTATATTATATTATATTATATTATATTATATTATATTATATATCAGTATGAGAATATGTGAATATTTAAATTTCAATTTGTGAATTAGAAATCTAATTTATGCTTAAGTTATATATTATATTTTTAAACATTATTATTATTATTATTATTACATTTTGGATTAGGGGTTAGGAATTTGAATTCTCCTTTGTGTACGCTATAAATTGTAGCCTATATATTATTATAGGCCAATATTTTATTTTATTTTATTTTAAAATAAATGTTATTTTAATTTATGTTGTTGTTTTAAGTCATTATACATTTACATTAAATTATGGAAACACATTATAGTGATCTAGGAATCGTGTAAATATTTCTCTAAATACATTGAAAATGGTTATTTTCAGATTTGTTTTATTTTTATTATATTTTCAGTCTGGGCATTTTGCCCTTTTGGAGTTTATTTTGAACTAAAATCATAAATCAATGTATGAAAAATTATAAAACAATATCAAACAATTTTAATAGGTTGTTTCAGAATATCTGGAGATTTTACCCATCTAGTATTAACCCTGCTGCGGGTCAGCCAACCGTAGGGCCATTGACAGAAATGAATGATGACATTTCAAGTTCCATAATATGTTCAGTGTGACTCTTCATTTTAAATGTGTCACCACCCTTCCCATCATGAGCGACTGCTATGGTCTTGATTGACGGCTTCTCTCACAGCACAATAACACGCCTGCGGCTGTCTTGCAGAAATCCCTGCGTGGCTGCCTTTAGCATGCGGATGAGTTCAAACTAATAGAAATGTCAACACACCTCCGGTTCATCGACGTTCAACTCCCTCCTTATTCAGACGCTGCCACTATTTTAATTCAAATCATATAGCATGATGTACTACTGCTGTTAAAAAGCGTATTTTCTTTGGTTCATTTCCTCCTGCACGTATTGATGTTGTAATTCAGGTCTCCAAAGGAAATGACGAGCTACTAATTCACTTTTTTGTTTCAATTTAACATTTTTTAAATCAATTCTGTCTGCAAATTCTAGACATAAAGGCCAAGCAATTCCTAGAAACACATGCGTCTTCCTCATAATGACATGTTATTAAAGGAATAGTTCACCCAAAATTGAAAGTCATTATTCACTCACTCATCTTGTATTTGTCCCATTTATATGCACAATAAATTTTCTGTTTAATACTACAGCTCTATTAAATATATTATAATTGCTGGCATCATGGAAAAATTAATTAATTAATTAATTCATTCATTCAACTTGCTCAAAGTAGTATAAAACTGTTGGAATTTTACACTTAAAAAAAAAAAAACAGAACTTTTAAACTTCAATTTGTGAATTTGAATGATATATATTTCAATTATATATATTATATATATATATATATATATATATATATATATATACAGTATCTCACAGAAGTGAGTCCATGCCCAAGAGGGTTAAGGCAGTGCTGGAAAATAATGGTGGGCGCACAAAATATTGACACTTTGGGCCCAGTTTGGACATTTTCACTTAGGGGTGTACTCTCTTTTGTGGCCAGCGGTTTAGACATTAATGGCTGTGTGTTGAGTTATTTTGAGGGGACAGCAAATTCATACTGTTATACAAGCTGTACACTCACTACTTTACATTGTAGCAAAGTGTCATTTCTTAAGTGTTGTCACATGAAAAGATATAATAAAATATTTACAAAAATGTGAGGGGTGTACTCACTTCTGAGATACTGTACATACACATATACATTTATTTATTTAACACTAGGGCTGGCAATAGGCAGCCCTAGTATCAAAGAGTTAAAAAATAAATATTCAAAACCTACACTCAATTATAATACACATCAATTTGAATGTTTATTATGCATGATATCATTCTTTTGGTTTCAGCACAATGCATTTTTATTTTATTTATTTTTGTTTTTATTTTTAGTGATTGCTAACCCTAGTGTTGAACAACCAAATTTGAAAATCTGTAATTGATTCTAATATGCATCAATCTGAATGTTCATTATGCAATTTTTCATTGTTTTCTTTTGGTCTCAGCTCAATAAATCAAACCATACTGTCCACCCTAGCCCCCCTTCTCTGTACGTGTCTTTGATGTATTTCTCCCATTATCATTAAATACCACTGTGATCTGGAGACGCTGTGACTGGATTGGATGCAGGAGTTGTAATCACATCACTGCATTATGCATGCTGTGCAAAATACCAAGATGAAAAGAATTTACAGCAGGACATTCATGCCAATCAGTTCCCCGCTATTAATCTTGCATGACAACGATGCTGCACCTGTAATCTTCGGGCCAAAACAAAGGCCATGATTAAATGGGTTTAATTCATGGTGTCACGCTAGGATTCAGAAGAAGAGAACACAGGTAAAACTGCAGAGCTGTCAAAAATATTGCAGGCTAGATAAAGGGTTGAGTTGTGAAACATAAGCCTGAGAAAGCGAGATTGGCACGGAGCTTGCGCTCTCAGAGGGAGGAGAACGGAAGGGTCCCTTCCCCTGAGGACTCGCCTCGGGAGAACATGTTTCCCTTTGATCTCTAACTCTTTGTGTGATACTGTACAGGACAGCCAGGAGTTGAAAATTAGATGTGCATTTCATTCAGCATGACACCAGCATCCTAGTTCCTCTGCTGACTAAGCCCAAGACTCGATATGAATCAGTCTTTTTGTTTTGTTCCTGCCACAGTTCCTTAGTCAATGCCTCTGTGCAGTATTAAATACAGCTTACTGTATTTACAGTACAGTATAATTGACCATTTAATTTCCAATTGATAGAAATATCACTGTGATTTGGAAGTAGGCTACAAATGTCATATTGCGTTTATCCACAGTTTGATGGCACAAGTGTGTAAATAAATAAAGAGACAACGGAGTGTCTTTAAAAACCCTCTTTTGTGTGGAACTACTTCCTTCCGATACCGATTCAAATCTCAGTTTGACAGCTGAGCCCAAGCCTCCATTACTAATTCCAATACATCTTCATTAAAAGGTTATTGTATTACTGTATTAAAAATCACCATCACGAATACACACCGTTTCTCAATACTATTATTCATGAAATGAACAGTTGGATGTGCCAGAACTTTCTTCAGTTAAACAAGGAGAAAACTGAAGTCATTGCATTTGGAAACAAAGATGAAGTTCTCAAGGTGGTTTATAAATCACTCAATGGCCTAGGACCTAAATACATAGCAGATATGTTCACTGAATATAAACCTAACAGACCACTCAGATCATTAGGATCGAGTCAGTTAGAAATATCAAGGTTTCACACAAAACAAGTTCGCTTTTATCTATTATGCCACCCACAGCTGGAACCAGCTTCCAGAAGAAATAAGATGTGCTAAAACATTAGCCACATTTAAATCCAGACTCAAAACTTATCTGTTTAGCTGTGCATTTATTGAATGAGCACTGTGTTACGTCCAAACTAATTGCACTGTATTTTATATATAATCATTTCTAGTTTTAACTGTTTTAAATTCATTTAAAATAAATTTTTTAATAATTTTAAAAGTTTTACATTTTTTGTTTTATTGTTGTGATTATTTTTTAATGATTTTACTTTTATGTAAAGCACTTTGAATTACTATTGTGTATGAAATGTGCTATATAAATAAACTTGCCTTGCCTTGCCTATTAAATACTACTATTATTGAATAATAATATTTGATAAACAACAACAACAGCCATCATAAACGTTCCTAGGCAATTCAAAGGCAGCACTCTGATGTACAGCATTAAAGTTATATACTGTGAAATATAACGTGATGAGATTTTGCCCTCAGCCAAAACTATTTGCTCTGGAACAAATAATAGATTAATGAGACCAATGACTGCCCGTCAGATTTACCCCAAACAAATTATCATGTTTAACCACTATAGAGACATCAGAGCCAGCGGTAAATTCCAGAAGATCTGGCCGAGGTAAAGCCCAAAGTATACTTCACTTTTTACGCGTATGCGAGGGACAGCGTACAGTGCGTGTGACGCAAATTTCGTCATCAGAACAGTATGCGCGTACTGTACGCGCACCACCCGATTTTTGTAACCATGTGTACTTTGTATGCTTTGTATGAAGTTATTTTGCAGTAATCGGTTTTTCCACAAGGTGGCAACACTGTCCTGGGCCATTGTTTCACAGTAGAAACCAAAACTAAAGAGACGGAACAACAACAACAAAATAGCGGAGACTGCAACAACAAATGACGCTCACATTGACAAGCGCTTGTGAGCGAGAGGCTATGAGACAGCTCAGCTTTGGTTTAAAAGAGTTCAAAAATATTTGTTACTGTATCAGTCATAACTTAACGGGGAAAAACAGAATAGACACTAGACATGGATTAAGCTTTCTAGAGTGAATGTGTCGATCGCCCGCATTCGCGCACAACATCAAATGGAGTATACTTTGAAAGGCTACGCATTCGACTGTACACATATGCTAGTGTACGCATACAAAAACGAAGTATACTTTGGGCTTAAGGATGCTCTCGGCGGGTTCATGAGCACTGAACGGCCGCTGACGCCCTGGAGCTCACATCTACAAAAACGTTGAAGCAAATTTTCAAATAGACATTCTTTTTATTAACAGACCGCATATTTGAAGTCTAAACAAGTACATTCTCGACATTCTGTGACACAAAAACAGTATTATTCTAAAAATTTATAGTGGATTTGGGCATCTGCCATGACACTCACTGTTTGAAAAACAAGCAGAGTAATACAAATGGTGAAATGGTTGAAATGCTGTTATCACTAGAATATCGCATGCCTGGAAAAGGCTCTTGGCTAATCAGATTTGATAACCAAAAATAACTTTTATATAAAATATAATACAAAATTTGTATTTATAGTGTAATTGAGAATGCTAATTATTATATTGTATTATATGCAATAGTTTCAGTGTAACTACTTTTTAAATATCTTTTTATAAGAGTAGCTTGATTGTAGTTTAAGTACTTTAAGTGCACTTTCCAGAATTGTTCACAGTAAATGTGGCAACTCAAATCAGATACTGTGCATTTGCAAACCTATTAGCCAGTAATATCCATTTTGAATTGAGTTTGACAGCTGCGGAAAACTTCCCCAAATGTGTCACAATTGCGCTAATTTATCTATTATTTTACGTGCTGATTTCAAAAACGTCAGGCATGAATAGCTTTTAATGGTTGGTGGATTGGGTAATTGAATTGACCTCAAACAAATTCGTTCGTTCCCTTTGCGAATTGAATCTATGCTTTTTCCCCTCTCACCCACTTGTAGGAACAACCGAGCACACGTTCCCCGAGTCCCACTCCCAGAGCTCATCAAAAGGGCTGTTGTACTTGTCTGTATCAAGTTCATGATTAAAATAAGTATTTGAAAAAAATATCTCAGTGCTGCTACATTGTTTGTGTTATTTGTGGTTTTGAAAAACGAATATGACAAAGCGAGCCCCATGAGATGCAATATACAGCCTCAAACCCGAGATGTTTTTATACAGCAAAGGTTCGTTTATATTAATGCATCCCCTGCTATTGGTATTCATGGAAGTTGTGGCGTCTTTGTGCTTACACATATTTTTAGGAGTGTGAGGAGGGAAAAAAGTTCAATTTAAATGCAATGAAATAGCAGAGGGTGCAGTACTAAAGTTTTGTATCTAACAAATTCACTTTGATGGTATACAGTTTACAGTATGTGCACTGTGGCGAAGATCAGAGCAAACACGGGACGGCGTTCAGAAACTAAGATCTTCCGTAGGGAGGTGAGCGCAGATGATGGAAGCTTTTATCGGCCACGATGTGTGCAGAATTTTCCCCAGTCAGCACATCATGTCTATCGTGTTTCTTAGACATTCTCGCATTCACCTTTGGGAAGAGCCTGGGAATTGGACCACGGGTCTTTTTCCTCGCTAAATTTATGGAAATGCATGAGGCGTGAGCTTAAATTGTTATTTGGTTGCTCTAAAAGCAGCCAGGCCCCTTGGCTATTTTGATACAGTTCATTTTATGCCTGTCAAAGACTGTAATTGGACGACCCTATTTGCTGTCAGTATCACCCTTTTGAAGTCAATAGAAAGCTGGAAGTGATGTGCACCACTTTGGGCTGCATCCTCAAAACAATTCCTTATCCTTTTTTGGCTTTTCTCCCTCAATAGTCTCTAAAAAATGCTTTCATTTCCTTCACAGTTTATTTTGGGTTGTTATTCTGCAGTGCCGCACTGAGCGGTTGACGGTGCCAGAGGGAAAACAGGATATCTTGTGGGTGATGTTTACTGTAATCTTTGTCTCCTTTTTTGCGGTCTTTCTCCTACACCTTTGATTTGAGAGTTGCTGATGTGACCGAAAGTATAGAGAGCTGACATCTGTGTATGCCTTTGAATTTTTTCCCCCTGAAAATCAACATTAGCTTTGCAGCTTCTCTCTAACAATCATGTCTTCTAGGATTTGGACTCCAGCTCTGAGGTCGATGAAAGCTCAGATGATGACAGCACTCTGGAGGGAGACTTGAACGACAAGATGCCGAGTGACCAGAGAGGCTCCGATCTGCCTTCCGACCGAGATGAAAATCACCTCCGGACGAGTGACTTCCATAAGCATTACCTCAACTGCTCCAGGAAAAGCCAAGAAGGCCACTCGAGTATGGTGGACAGGCTTCTGGAGAAGTACGGGATCTGCACTCCCAACCACGATCCACGTCTCTACACCGCCACTGCAGCCAATACAAAGTCAATAGCTGGATACTCCATCCTAGCCTTCCCTGACTTCTGGGGACACCTGCCCCCACAAGAGCACGAGCCCATGGCTAAAAGACCACCACATGTGCAGAGGTGAGAAATCATGTCTTTCATTTCAATTTTGTTCTGCTCAAGGAATAATTTTTCAATGACCATTGAAAATTAACATTGTATCTGTTACCAAGTTAAAAAAGTATGTTACCACAGATAAAATTGTGCCTAGAATATTAGAACAATTCATCCCTGATTTATCCCATGTCACAGATAACAAAACATATATGCAAAGTGTTTTCTATTGCATGGTTGCATTTAATTTATCAAATGCATAAATTTTGCACAGCATTCTTCTTCTAAACAGCTATGAGTCTGTATTGCAATAACAATTGCGATTAAACATCAAGGAGCTCTCCGTTTACCTGTGATCACATTTAATATTCAATATTAAAAGATTTAAGAAGACATTTGCTTTGAGAGACATATCTGGGTAGAATTACTCTAGTGTTTTGTTGCTCATAAAAACTGTGCCATTAGAGACTGCAACAAGAAAAACAACAGAAAACGGTTTGATTCCAAAAAGACGCTTTCAAAACCTCCCCAAAAATGGCTTAATTTGTGCTTTAGTTTTTGTCTTGGGTTTTTGCACAAATTCTGTGTTCCATATTCCAGCAGTTCCCAACCTTTTAGCTGCTTGTGTTACGTTTGCATGCTGAGATTGCCAGAAAGAAATTATGCAAATATTAGACTTAATTTATAAGCTGATTTGCCTCTAAATCAGATCATGTGGATGCAATTTAAGGCCTATTCTCCATCCTTACTTGATTGTAAATATCGTCGGCACTGAGTCATTAAACTCACTGTAAGAACAAATGAAATCCATTAAAATATTCCTTTTTGAGTTAAACTCTCTTGCCTTAAGTGAGTTGTTCTGCTTTTGCTAGTTGCTTTGCTCTACTTCCAAAGACTCTTTTCTACTGAGGAAAAGCCCTTAAATATATATCTAATTATGGTAGCCCCCTTCAAAAAACTTGTTTTCCACGAAACTTTCTTCAATGTGGAAGGGAGAGATTAAAGGAAATAGACATTTATTTCAGTCAATTCTGTAGTTTATTGTGTTTCCTCAAGGGTAAGATAAGTTTCTATGGGTTCTATTGGTGTTATTTTAACTTAAAAATAGTTGTTTCTTTGAGTTTTAAAAAGAAAGTGTCAGACAGCCAGTGACATTTTGAAAAAAGTGACAGTTTTAATTCCACATATTTCTTCCTACTCACACGTTAACTTTAGATAAGTCTTAAACATTTGCATTTGACGTCCTAAGATGATCATTTAAAAAAAAAAAACGCATTTAAAACATATGCCTGACACATCATTTTGATAATATTTGCAGGAAAATGGTTGATCATAATGCCTTTTCTACCCTTTGTGATGTTCTATGCTCAGAATTTAACATTAATGAAAGACAGAATGCTTGTTTAGGTCTTATTGTTTTATAGTTCTTCCTATGAAGTAAACATTCTGATGAGAGCGCTCTCGGTTTATTGCCAGCCACGGCGGACTGTTAACTTTGTTTTTGCTCATTCATTCAGCCCCATTATCATCTGAAATTTGTTTTTCCCCCCGCTGCATTTTGAATTGTGCTTATTCGCATCGGGAGAAAGGCCTTATTATTATTGTTTATTTGCAAAAAAGAAATAATGCATTGACAAGCGTGAGCGAGAGGCTATGAGACAGCTCAGCTTTGGTTTAAAAGAGTTCAAAAATATTTGTTACTGTATCAGTCATAACTTAACGGGGAAAAACAGAATAGACACTAGACATGGATTAAGCTTTCTAGAGTGAATGTGTCGATCGCCCGCATTCGCGCACAACATCAAATGGAGTATACTTTGAAAGGCTACGCATTCGACTGTACACATATGCTAGTGTACGCATACAAAAACGAAGTATACTTTGGGCTTAAGGATGCTCTCGGCGGGTTCATGAGCACTGAACGGCCGCTGACGCCCTGGAGCTCACATCTACAAAAACGTTGAAGCAAATTTTCAAATAGACATTCTTTTTATTAACAGACCGCATATTTGAAGTCTAAACAAGTACATTCTCGACATTCTGTGACACAAAAACAGTATTATTCTAAAAATTTATAGTGGATTTGGGCATCTGCCATGACACTCACTGTTTGAAAAACAAGCAGAGTAATACAAATGGTGAAATGGTTGAAATGCTGTTATCACTAGAATATCGCATGCCTGGAAAAGGCTCTTGGCTAATCAGATTTGATAACCAAAAATAACTTTTATATAAAATATAATACAAAATTTGTATTTATAGTGTAATTGAGAATGCTAATTATTATATTGTATTATATGCAATAGTTTCAGTGTAACTACTTTTTAAATATCTTTTTATAAGAGTAGCTTGATTGTAGTTTAAGTACTTTAAGTGCACTTTCCAGAATTGTTCACAGTAAATGTGGCAACTCAAATCAGATACTGTGCATTTGCAAACCTATTAGCCAGTAATATCCATTTTGAATTGAGTTTGACAGCTGCGGAAAACTTCCCCAAATGTGTCACAATTGCGCTAATTTATCTATTATTTTACGTGCTGATTTCAAAAACGTCAGGCATGAATAGCTTTTAATGGTTGGTGGATTGGGTAATTGAATTGACCTCAAACAAATTCGTTCGTTCCCTTTGCGAATTGAATCTATGCTTTTTCCCCTCTCACCCACTTGTAGGAACAACCGAGCACACGTTCCCCGAGTCCCACTCCCAGAGCTCATCAAAAGGGCTGTTGTACTTGTCTGTATCAAGTTCATGATTAAAATAAGTATTTGAAAAAAATATCTCAGTGCTGCTACATTGTTTGTGTTATTTGTGGTTTTGAAAAACGAATATGACAAAGCGAGCCCCATGAGATGCAATATACAGCCTCAAACCCGAGATGTTTTTATACAGCAAAGGTTCGTTTATATTAATGCATCCCCTGCTATTGGTATTCATGGAAGTTGTGGCGTCTTTGTGCTTACACATATTTTTAGGAGTGTGAGGAGGGAAAAAAGTTCAATTTAAATGCAATGAAATAGCAGAGGGTGCAGTACTAAAGTTTTGTATCTAACAAATTCACTTTGATGGTATACAGTTTACAGTATGTGCACTGTGGCGAAGATCAGAGCAAACACGGGACGGCGTTCAGAAACTAAGATCTTCCGTAGGGAGGTGAGCGCAGATGATGGAAGCTTTTATCGGCCACGATGTGTGCAGAATTTTCCCCAGTCAGCACATCATGTCTATCGTGTTTCTTAGACATTCTCGCATTCACCTTTGGGAAGAGCCTGGGAATTGGACCACGGGTCTTTTTCCTCGCTAAATTTATGGAAATGCATGAGGCGTGAGCTTAAATTGTTATTTGGTTGCTCTAAAAGCAGCCAGGCCCCTTGGCTATTTTGATACAGTTCATTTTATGCCTGTCAAAGACTGTAATTGGACGACCCTATTTGCTGTCAGTATCACCCTTTTGAAGTCAATAGAAAGCTGGAAGTGATGTGCACCACTTTGGGCTGCATCCTCAAAACAATTCCTTATCCTTTTTTGGCTTTTCTCCCTCAATAGTCTCTAAAAAATGCTTTCATTTCCTTCACAGTTTATTTTGGGTTGTTATTCTGCAGTGCCGCACTGAGCGGTTGACGGTGCCAGAGGGAAAACAGGATATCTTGTGGGTGATGTTTACTGTAATCTTTGTCTCCTTTTTTGCGGTCTTTCTCCTACACCTTTGATTTGAGAGTTGCTGATGTGACCGAAAGTATAGAGAGCTGACATCTGTGTATGCCTTTGAATTTTTTCCCCCTGAAAATCAACATTAGCTTTGCAGCTTCTCTCTAACAATCATGTCTTCTAGGATTTGGACTCCAGCTCTGAGGTCGATGAAAGCTCGGACGATGACAGCGCTCTGGAGGGAGACTTGAATGATGAGACACTGAGTGACCAGAGATGCTCCGAGCTGCCCTCCCACCGAGATGAAAACCACCTCCAGACGAGCGACTTCCATAAGCATTACCTCAATTGCTCTAGGAAATGCCAAAAAGGCCACTCTAGTATGGTGGACAGGCTTCTGGAGAAGTACGGGATCTGCATTCCCAACCATGATCCACGCCTCTATGCCGCCACTGCAGCCAATACAAAGTCTATAGCTGGATACTCCATCCTAGCCTTCCCTGACTTCTGGGGACACCTGCCCCCACAAGAGCACGAGCCCATGGCTAAAAGACCACCACATGTGCAGAGGTGAGAAATCATGTCTTTCATTTCAATTTTGTTCTGCTCAAGGAATAATTTTTCAATGACCATTGAAAATTAACATTGTATCTGTTACCAAGTTAAAAAAGTATGTTACCACAGATAAAATTGTGCCTAGAATATTAGAACAATTCATCCCTGATTTATCCCATGTCACAGATAACAAAACATATATGCAAAGTGTTTTCTATTGCATGGTTGCATTTAATTTATCAAATGCATAAATTTTGCACAGCATTCTTCTTCTAAACAGCTATGAGTCTGTATTGCAATAACAATTGCGATTAAACATCAAGGAGCTCTCCGTTTACCTGTGATCACATTTAATATTCAATATTAAAAGATTTAAGAAGACATTTGCTTTGAGAGACATATCTGGGTAGAATTACTCTAGTGTTTTGTTGCTCATAAAAACTGTGCCATTAGAGACTGCAACAAGAAAAACAACAGAAAACGGTTTGATTCCAAAAAGACGCTTTCAAAACCTCCCCAAAAATGGCTTAATTTGTGCTTTAGTTTTTGTCTTGGGTTTTTGCACAAATTCTGTGTTCCATATTCCAGCAGTTCCCAACCTTTTAGCTGCTTGTGTTACGTTTGCATGCTGAGATTGCCAGAAAGAAATTATGCAAATATTAGACTTAATTTATAAGCTGATTTGCCTCTAAATCAGATCATGTGGATGCAATTTAAGGCCTATTCTCCATCCTTACTTGATTGTAAATATCGTCGGCACTGAGTCATTAAACTCACTGTAAGAACAAATGAAATCCATTAAAATATTCCTTTTTGAGTTAAACTCTCTTGCCTTAAGTGAGTTGTTCTGCTTTTGCTAGTTGCTTTGCTCTACTTCCAAAGACTCTTTTCTACTGAGGAAAAGCCCTTAAATATATATCTAATTATGGTAGCCCCCTTCAAAAAACTTGTTTTCCACGAAACTTTCTTCAATGTGGAAGGGAGAGATTAAAGGAAATAGACATTTATTTCAGTCAATTCTGTAGTTTATTGTGTTTCCTCAAGGGTAAGATAAGTTTCTATGGGTTCTATTGGTGTTATTTTAACTTAAAAATAGTTGTTTCTTTGAGTTTTAAAAAGAAAGTGTCAGACAGCCAGTGACATTTTGAAAAAAGTGACAGTTTTAATTCCACATATTTCTTCCTACTCACACGTTAACTTTAGATAAGTCTTAAACATTTGCATTTGACGTCCTAAGATGATCATTTAAAAAAAAAAAACGCATTTAAAACATATGCCTGACACATCATTTTGATAATATTTGCAGGAAAATGGTTGATCATAATGCCTTTTCTACCCTTTGTGATGTTCTATGCTCAGAATTTAACATTAATGAAAGACAGAATGCTTGTTTAGGTCTTATTGTTTTATAGTTCTTCCTATGAAGTAAACATTCTGATGAGAGCGCTCTCGGTTTATTGCCAGCCACGGCGGACTGTTAACTTTGTTTTTGCTCATTCATTCAGCCCCATTATCATCTGAAATTTGTTTTTCCCCCCGCTGCATTTTGAATTGTGCTTATTCGCATCGGGAGAAAGGCCTTATTATTATTGTTTATTTGCAAAAAAGAAATAATGCACACAAACAACCAAGAAAATTAGCCGATTAGCATCATACAGGGCAAAAAAGATGAGGCAACATAGGTTTGATTTGGAAATGGCATCATCCAAACAGAGTTGAGAACGACCCGCCATTATTAGTGCTTTTGGTAGACGTCTGCATATTATTTCGCCAGACTGCTTAATACGTGTAATATAGCTGATAGTGTTGCTCGTTACTCATTTGTTAAAGTAATATATAATGATACGACTGTCGCAACCTTTGTGTGTCGGCCTCTTGTATTAGGCCCTGGATTTGGGGAACAGCGGTTATTTTGCATGCACTCCACTCCAAACTTCATTTCAATATTTAATTTCATTTATTAAATGCAAAAGTTTGGTTTCAAAAGCATTTCTAAATTCAGTTCATATTTCCAAAAAAAAAAAAAAAAAAAACGAAAAATCAAGTCAGAATAACGAAGTGGTTAAAAAAAACTGTGAGCTACCACCATATATGTATAAAATGTGCTGTGCACTCAGTGTTTTGCGAAAAGAGCTCCCTCTGCAGGTGAGACAAATATACAGTACTGTCACAAACAATAAAGCTAATAAAGCTTGCTACTATAGTTAAACTTTAAAATGATAGTTCACCCAGAGATGAGAATTGTTTCAAGAACACTGGGTCTTATTCACTAAGCATGCGTACGCACAAATTTGTGTGTGAAACCTGTGTACGAACGTTTTCACGAACAAATCATGATTCACTAAAACTTTCGTACTTTATTCTAAATTTAAGAAAAATATAGGAACAGCACAAAGCACATGTGCGCAAAAATCACACTCTGGCCGGTTTTAATAATCTATATATATATATATATATATATATATATATATAATGAGTATTGAACACATCACCATTTTTCTCAGTAAATATATTTCTAAACGTGCTGTTGACATGAAATTTTCGCCAGATGTCGATAACAACCCAAGTAATCCATACATACAAAGAAAACAAAACAAATAAGTTCTCCGGAAGTGGAAAGAACATAATTTCACCATAAACCGGCCACGACCAGGTGCTCCTCGCAAGATTTCTGACAGAGCAGTAAAAAAGAATTATCAGAAGAGTTGTCCAAGAGCCAAGGATCACTTGTGGAGAGCTTCAGAAAGACCTGGAATTAGCATGAACAATTGTTTCAAATAAAATAAGTTCAATAAGTAAGTAATGCACTCAACCGTTTAAAGTTTGCTGCACCACATTTAGACAAGCCTGTGAAATACTGGGAGAATATAGTCTGGTCCGATGAGACAAAAATTTTACTCTTTGGATGCCATAATACACACCATGTTTGGAGGTCAAATGGCACTGCACATCACCCCAAAAACATCATGTTGTAGCACTGGCAAAATTCATATAATTGAAGGAAAGGATGAATGGAAAAATGTGATGATGAAGATGAAATGAGGGTGGACATTCCAGCGAGACAATGATCCCAAACACACAGCCAAGGAAACTCTCATTTGGTTTCAGAGAAAGAAAGTAAAGCTGCTAGAATGGCCCAGCCAATCACCTGACTTGAATCCAATAGAAAATCTATGGAAAGAACTAAAGATTAGAGATCATAGAAGAGGCCCATGGAACCTTCAAGATTTGAAGACTGTTTGTGTGGAAAAATGGGCCAAAATCACACCTGAGCAATGCATACGACTAGTTTCTCCATACAGGAGGCGTCTTGAAGCTGTCATTACCAACAAAGGCTTTTGTACGAAGTATTAAATACATTTCATTAAGCATTTTCAATACTTTTCCCCTGGGTCATTCCGTTTTATTACACAGAATCTATTATCTAAGGATAATAGTTATGCATTATGCATAATTACAATAAATATATATTTCATCCTAAAATGATTTAATCATGTACAGTGAAAGATATGAAAAGCTGCGTTAGACTATAGCGCTTTATAGGTTTCTCTGAATAACAGCGCATGTATAGCCGGCCAATGAGACCTCTGTGAACTGGTTCTGTATAAAATATGTTTTATTGTGTATGAACTGATTTTGAGGACTGCGCACTTGGTATTGCTCAAAGATCTGGCAAGAGCGCGTCTGAAGACAGAGTGCGTTATATGGGGTTGTGTGGAGCATCTTTGACAAGAGTGACAAAAGGCTGTAAAGGAAAGCGTGTGCAGAAAGCCCTTATATGGAGATGGTCTGGGCGTGTTTTATGCAAATTACTAACCTCGTGCACGTGGCAACTCATTTAGAATGCTCCGAATTCACTAATAGAATATTAGTTCACTAATATTCACTAATTTAAGAACAAATTAATGTGCGTACGCACGTGTTGTGAATTAGGCAAAACGTTTTCATGAGAAATTCGAATGTGCGTATAAATACGAATAATCTACGCAATTTGTGAATGAGACCCAATGTTGGTATAATAAGTGTGAATGAAGAATGAGGCTGTTGTGTGAAAATTGAAGTCGTTATTACGACTTTTGACACCGATAATCATTACAACATCGTTAACCATTGTAATTGCATGGGAGAGTCACCGAATTGCGGAATCGTTGTACATTGAACTGGATTCATGAATGAATTGTTGAGGCCGGTCTTGTGAGTTGAATCAATTGAAAAGATTTGAATCAAAACAATGATTCCTTCACAAATCTAACAAGATAAACGGTATAACATGATAATATTGCAATATAGCAAGCAAGGAAATTTGGACCGACATATGGACCAATTTTGTTCTTTAATTTATGACTCATACATGTGGTTTATTTTACCTAATCTAGTTTCCTCATTTATTAAAGGGACAGTTCACCCAAAATAAAAATTCATTAATTACTCACCCTATTGTCGCTCCGAACCCAGAGTTCTGACTGCATATACACAGACTTTTTAAAATATATTAAAATATAAAGTATATATATTTTTTTATTTTTTTTTTATGTTTTAATGTATAAATTGAGTTCTACTTTTGGAAACCAAAGCTGTGGTTCATTGATAGTTTATTTATTTATTTTTCAATGTTCCAGAAAGAAAGTTTTCGAAGACATCCAGCGTCTCATCTGTCCAGAGGACATCATCAACAAGGTTATTTTTGACATGGATGATCACAGGTAACATGCTGCTATTTTTTTTTTCTGATAAAGCGTTTTCATTAGATCCTCACAGCAGTGGCATGGCAGCCATCTAGATGCTACAATGATAAATTAAGTCCATCAAGTGCCTCTGATGGATCTTAATGAATCTTTCACATGCGAATATACGACAGTCACAGCCAGAACGTGAAAGATCTTCAGTGCAGACTTCAAGTTCTTTTTAAAAGCTCTAAAATTGCAGCAATTACAATAAAACCGTAAAAAGGGTAATTGAGGTAAAATGCCTTTCTAGGAACAATCTTATTTGCGACTGGTTTTGATCATACAGTTCCTCAGCTTGTGTGTGTTTATCCAGTCAAGCTTGGTTTGATGTGACTGCCTCTGTCAGGGGCATTCTGGGTGATAAACCCTTGAAAGGACAGTGTCTCTCTGCCTGCCCAGATGCTGATGGACAGCTTGTCGTCCGTAGCTGCTGTTTACCGTCATGTAGTTTGTGGGTTGCAGTAGGTTTGCGATACTGAACTGTGCGTCTCCATCATGTGGACAGTGTTCTGCACTCATCTTCTGTGTCATTTGCAGTGTGACTGGAATTTATTGATGCAAACTGTGCAGAATGAATGATTTAGCCAGAATGGTGGTTAGTAGTGTGAATCAATATGTAGGACAAGTATGGAGATAATTCACTTGTTTGTTAAGCTAATGTGACAGTATGGTGGAGTGGAACATGCTCAATCAGCACAGCTGTCCAAAAATGTGTCTCTCTCTCTTCTGTTCTTCTCTGCTTTCTGTCTATTAGTCTTCTCCAGTCAATCTCATTTGTCCTTTCTCTTCCTTCCTTGCTTCTTGTTTCTTTCCTGTCTCCCCCCCCCTTCATTTTCCCTTTCCTTCTCATTTCTTTCTTTCTTTCTTTCTTTCTTTCAATGTTCATTTTGGTTCTTGTTTTTCTCTTTTCCTTCCTTTTTTGCTGTTTTTTTTGTTGCTTTTTTCTTATCTTTCCTTTTCCTTCCTTCCTTCCTTCCTTCCTTTCTTCCATCCTTTCATTTTTTCCTTACTTCCTATGTTCAAATTTGGTTTCTGTCTTTCCCTTTTCCTTCCGTTTTTGCTTTCTTGTTTTTTGGCTTTCTTCATGGCTTTCTTCCTTCCTTTCTTTCTTTCTTTCTTTTTCCTTCGTTCCTTCGTTCCTTCCTTCCTTCTGTTGTCTTTCTTCCTGTCTTTTCTTTTCCATCCTTCTTTATTTCCTTCCTTCTTCCTTCTATCCTTTCATTTTTTATTTTATTTCCTTACTTCCTATGTTTGATTTGGTTCCTGTCTTTCTCTTTTCCTTCCTTCCTTCCTTCATTCCTTACTTACTTACTTCTATCCTTTCATTCTTTCCTTACTTCCTATGTTCACTTTGGTTTCTGTCTTTCCCTTTTCCTTCCTGTTTTGCTTTCTTCCTTTTTTTGCTCTCTTCCTGTTTTTCCCCTTCCTCCTTTCCTTCTTTCCTTCCTTCCTTCCTCCCTCCCTTTCTTTATTTCCTTTTCCTTTGTTCATTCCTTCTGTTGTTTTTCTTCCTGTCTTTTCTTTTCCATCCTTCTTTATTTCATTCCTTCTTCCTTCTATCCTTTCATTTTTTATTCTATTTCCTTACTTCCTATGTTTACTTTGGTTCCTGTCTTTCTCTCTTCCTTCCTTCCTTCTGCTTGTATTTCTTCCTGTATTTCTTTTTTTTTTTGCTTTTTGCCTTTGTATATTCATTCTATTCTTCCTTCCTGTCTTTTTTTTGTTTCCTTTATTTTCCTTCCATTCCTATGTTTCTCCTTTTCTTCCTCCCTGTCTTTTCTCTTTTGTTTTGTTTTGTTTTGTTTTGTTTTGTTTTGTTTTGTTTTCTTTCTTTCTTTCTTTCTTTCTTTCTCTCTCTCTCTCTTTCTTTCTTTCTTTCTTTCTTTCTTTCTTTCTTTCTTTCTTTCTTTCTTTCTTTCTTTCTTTCTTTCTTTCTTTCTTTCTTTCTTTCTTTCTTTCTTTCTTTCTTTCTTTCTTTCTTTCTTTCTTTCTTTCTTTCTTTCTCTCTCTCTCTC